GTGTGTGTGTGTGTGTGTGTGTGCGTGTGTGTGTGTGTGTGTGCGTGTGTGTGTGTGTGTGTGTGTGTGTAGTGATTTTTCATCTCGAGACCTACAAAAGCTATGAAACTTTGGGAACTTAATCTACATGCATGTACAAGCCCTATTCCACAAAGTGAGCCCCACTACCCACATGGTTGCCATCCACGGGCCAGTGAAAGTTTTTTGCGGGCAAGTTGCTAATTTGAGACCCTGAAAAGCTAGAGGACTGGGATTTTAAGAGGATGTTCCCCGCTTACGTTGATCTTAGTGAGTTCAAACCTGGCTCTGAGTTATACATGATTCCCACGTATTGGGTCATGAAATTTTTTTGCGGGTAAGTTGCTAACTCGGGAATTCGAAAAATTATAAAACTGGAATTTTAAGAGGATGTTTTCTGACAGTCCTGGAGGCCAGTTTCAATTCTCTTAGCTAGAAACATCTGCTTGAAAAACGGTGCCGTTAGCAACAAAAATCTGCGGGAAACTATGCAAAAAACGCATCTTCACACTGGCAGTCGGTGCACTGGCCACTTATTTTAACCTGACTAAACAGCGTTATTTTGTATATTTGGTTCAGCAATAATTCTTAATCCGACGTTCCAGCTGTGCAGCTGGCAACCTGCTTTGACTAATCTTGCATTATCTGATGGTCAGCCTGCAGAAAATCCCGGCGTTTTTACTGACATTCTTTTCAGCCTTTTTTGAAAGCTGTATTTACATTTTTTTTCTAAAGGATCAATTTTTTTGATGCATTTTTTGCATCTGCGCAGTTCAAAAACTCATATTGTCGAGGAGTTGTCTGCGTGTATGTGCGTGTATTCGCCTCTACCGATTTTTCATCTCGAGATCTATAAAAGCTACGACACTGAAACTTTTGGAACTTAATCTACATGCATGTACAGGACCCACTTCCCATAATGGGCGCTCTTGCCCATGCGGTTCCTTCTCAAGGCTCCGTAAAAGTTTTTGGTGGGTAAGTCGCGAACTTCGGGAACTTGAAAAATTACAGATTTTTAATTTCGAGAGGATTTTTTTCGCAAAGTCGTGGTAGTCAGTCTCAATTTTTTTAACTAGAAGCATCTGCCGAAAAAGATAGTACCGTTAGCGACAAAAACCTGCGGAGAACCGCGCAAAAAGCGCAACTTCACACCAGCAGTCGGTGCGTTGGCCAATTACTTTTTCATCGAGTTGGTGGCTATGATGTGGAGGTGATGTTCTAGAATTCCTTGCAGTAAAAGATCCACTCTTTGGCCACTGTTGAGTGTCCTTACTGTAAAGTTTCCCGCATAAAACTGACAGCTGCATGTATTTCTTTGCCGATTTAAAGTCAAAAGTGATTTTGTTGCTTAAACGAATTTGCGATTTTCTTCATTTTTTACAGAATTTGCTTTTTTTTCCAGCTATTGCTTGATGCGATCGTTGCATTTCTGCGAGCTTTCGTTGTCGAGGAGTGCGTCAGTGCAGGTCCCCGTCAAGTTGCATCATTCAGTATTGAAAAGAAGCAGCTCACCACTATAGATATCACCCCAGTTACAAGACCGATGATCGATTTTTGTGTGCTTGGCTCACAGCCACAGCAGCTGAAATCGCCTCTCTGTGTGCCTGATCGATTATTATCAGTATTATCTGGCGTCTTCTCGGTGTTTATCATTGCTGAAACATCGGATGAGCGATCCTCGTTGTCATCAACGGACAAAGAATGGGTCGTTATATTCAGGCTGTTGAATAAAGCAAGTTTTAAGAAAGATAGCTTCTTTATGCTTTTTTTGCATCTCTGCAATGCAAAAACGCATATTGTTCAGAGGTTGTATGTATGTGTCTCTATTTACGCCTGTATCGATTTTTCATCTCGAGACCCACAAAAGCTGCAAAGACGGAACCTTGGAAAATTAATCTAAATGCGCGTGCGAACCCCATTTCCCAAAATGGGCGGTCTTACCCACGTATTTCCCCCGTACGAGCCCGCTAAAGTTTTTGGCGGGTAAACCGCTAACTCGGGAACCAGAAAAGCTGGAAGACTGAAATTTTAAGAGAATATTCCCCGTTCATGTAGGTCTTAATGAATTCAAACCCAGCCCACATACGGTCCGCGGGTAAATTGGTAACTCGGGGAATTGAAAAGCTAGAAAGCAGGGATTTTGAGGTGATGCTCCCTATCTACTTACAATCTAATGACTTCAAATTCACCCCCCAAGTATGCAGTTCTGCTCGTGGAAACTTTTTGTAGGTAGGTTGCTAACTTGGAAACCTGAAAAGCTAGAAGGATGTAATTTTAAGGGAATGTTCCCTGTCTACGTAGGCCCTAATAAGTTCAGGCCCAGCTCCCGAGCATACATGGTTCCATGCACGGGCCACTGAAAGTTTTTTGCAAGTAAGTGACTAACTCGGAAAACTGAAAGGCTAAAAAGCTGAAAATTTAAGGGGATTTTTTGTGTGGTCTTGGTGGCCAGTCTCAGTTCTCTTAGCTAAAAGATTTGCCGGGAAACCGGTCCCGTTAGAAACAAATACCTGCGGGAGACTATGCAAAAAACGCATCTTCACGCCTACAGTCGGTGCCCTGGCCATTTATTTGCCTTTGTAAGATGTGTTGTTGATAATTTTACTTATCAGTACCACTGTTATCACTGTTAGCGTGTATATTCCAGGCGCTATCACGATTGCGCGAGAGGTCACTTCCGGAAGATTTCGACGTAGAGCTGCGAAAAATTTCATCCGGTGTGATTGGCATTTTGCAGAAAGGAAGCATTTCCCAGAGGCTGCGAAACGCACTGCAAGCACTGAATCTACCAGCAAGATAACACAAATCGCGGTAATTGTAGAGTAATTCAGAAATGTTGAATTTTGTTTGTGTATTACGAGAGATTTGATAAAATTTTCTGTTCTGGCTGAGCAGCTTGAAGAAATTCATCGATGGCAGCATGTGCCGGCCAGTGTATTTTGAATTTTCAACCTCCCAAATTAGTAAGATTATGTAGTACGACTTAAAAAAACTGAGGCTGTCCCCGCAAAACTTTCCCTTCCGGTGAATAAAATCGAAAAATCAGACTCTTCTGGTTAAAATACCGTCAGAATCTGCTATTCAAAAAAAACCATCGAAATTTTTCTTCCCCTCAAATAGCTCTCGAAAAATTACATCTTTTTAATGAATGGTGTTATCTTGAAGGTGCCCGTACTGATACTCTCAAAGCAGTTTTTTAGACCGCTGGCGCTCATGATTTTATTACGCTCCATGCATATTTTGTGGAATTTTCTACGTTTTGAAAAGCAGGTTTAAACGAAAAGAAAGGCACGAGATTTCATGGATTAGCGTCTGGATGCGCCATATCCGTTGCAGATTAAAAGAATTTTTTGTTGCAATTTTGTCTATGAGCGAGTGTTTTTGAATCAAATTCTGGCTTGATGAGTGCTTGAATTTATATTCACTTTGTGGAAAAAACCCGGTGATCTCCTAGGATCAGTAAGGTTAGCTGAAAGGGAAGGGGAGGGGGATGCAAAATGAGGGGGTAATGCGGTAATGGGAAAAGTATACGGAACGGAAAATTATGAAGAGTGCTGAACTCCTATTTCTGTCAGTAGCGCTCTTATTCTTCGGACAAACGGGTTCTTGAATACGGGGCTTATTTTACAAAGGATATAGGCCATCGGAGGATCGAGTTCCTCATATCTACACCATCTCTAGGTTATTCAAATTATAACGTGTTAACTACCACACTACCGGCTCTTTTGCTTCACGTATAAGACTGCAGTTTTCAACTTTGTATGCATAAACATTTCACTATAAAACGCTATTGTCACAGAAAATGTACACTATTCCATTTTTGACGGCTTTTCAAGGGTATTTCTTACCTATAACAAATATTTCTTTAGACCCCTTACCTATTTTGATATCCTTTTCCTCCTTTTCATTGTTTCCTTCTTCTCCTGACATTTTCTTTTTAACCTCTAATTGGCAGCAAATGGATTCAAATTCGCTCCCCAGTAAGGCGCTTTTTTTCACATTTTTATGCGCATTTGCTTATATATATGACATTTTGGGTCTAGTTTTTTGAACATATCGGTTTCTCAAAACAGTTGGATTTGGTATTGTTTTTGCTCGATTGTACATTTTTAGTTTAATAAAGCACATGTTTAGCACAGTTTTGCATACTTTCGGCGTTGAATTTGGCGTTGTTTTTGCTCGATTTTGCATTTTTTGTTTAACAAAATATATATTTGGCACAGTTCCGCATACTTTTGGCTTAATTTCATGTTTTCCCAAGGGGTTTTCACTCTTCGTAGTCCAAATTTTACATTCTTCGTATCAGTTCTCCTAGCTATTTTCCTTCCTAAATTCGGCAGTCTTGATGCGCTACTCTTGCATAAACCCATTTTTTTCGGTTACCCCACTGATTTTGACTGTAGAGCGCATTGCAGGTGGAAAATTCAGATGGATCTCTGTGACGATTGGCATTTTCGGCCGTTGCATGCCTGCCCGTACGGGATGCTCTGTTCGGCGGTGGCCGTTCTCTTCGTTTTGCTGCATTTCATCTGTTTCGTTCGCATCCGGATCAGTCCCCCGGTGCGCCAGTACAGTGCCGGTTATTTGCCATTTCTTTTCGCCGTTTGTTGCTCTCTCTATGTGGTGCTCATCTTTGTTCCTGTTCTGTACATTCTCATCGAAAATATTCGTCTCACTGCTCAAATTGGTATTTTTCTCGCGTGTCATACGGAATTTTGGCTCATTTTACTCATTCTGCGTATTGCTTCGCGTAACTTTCACCAACATCCACTTCCACTGGTACTAGCAGAAGCATTCGCCCTGCTAGCTATAATTGTTCCGCTTTTGTTCTGGACACCATGGATTGCCGGAAGGTAGGCCTGTTTCGTCGGCAGAAAAAGAAAATTGAAATATTTATGATTTTTAGAATTAATATTATTGTTGATCATTTGATTTGCGCCTATGATCAAATAGATATACTTCAAGCAAAAAAGCTCAGTTTCTTGTTTTAATATACCAAACTCAAGAACACAACGTTAAAATAACTCAATGATACACGTAACTCAACCTCAAAGCCCAAGAACTCCAAAGAATATTGCAGTTTTCGGCTCCCGAAGTCCACAAGCAATCTTCTTATCCTCGCTCAATCCGCCCTGTGAAGTCGTAACCTTCTCCCACAGTAACCGCCGTCTCCCAGCGCCCCCTGTTTTAGGAATAACTGCTTTTCCTACCCCAAAAATACTTACTCCCTCTCCCTCCTTGTGATCCCCTCTTGCATATTTTTTATATACACAAAAAAGAACAAAATGAAACATTCTAGAACAAATTTTTGTCTATCACTTTTCGTGTTTTGACACGACAATTATTATAATTTCTAATAAAATTAGTAAAAATATCGGACAATAAAATGGGCTAAAGTAATTATTATTTTTGATCAGAACAGTTAAATTATTAAAATTAGCAACGCTGTGGATGGTTGATTTTAAATCGAATTAAAATGAATAAAAAATTTGAAATTGGTTAAAAGAATTATTAAAAAAAAAACATTTAAAAAAATTATAAAAAAACGTATGATTTCGGTTAAAAGAATTATAAAAAAAGACATATAATTTATACGGTAAATAGCTCCGCTTGGCTTTCCCCTTATTTTTTTATAATTATTTCATAAATTTAGAAATGAATGAAAACCACTAAAACTGCTAATTTAAATTTTACTGTAAACGGAAGCATTCAATTTTTTGTGCGCTTTTGCAGCTATGCAATGCAAAAACGCATACTGACGAGGGGTTGTCTGTGTGTCCGTGTGTCTGTTTGTCTGTCTGTGTGTGTGTCTGTCTCGCACTTTCATCTCAAGACCTATAAAAGCTGCAGGGCTGAAATTTCGGGAACTTAATCTACGTGCA